CAGAAGAAGCATGAGCAAAAGAGCAAAAAGAAGTCAGCAACATAGAAGACGAAGGATAGCACAAACTGAAAGACACGTCAGAACAAAGAATAGAGTTTGTCCACCTGTAATGTTGATTTGAATAAGAGAAAAGTCAAAGCACTAAACTCAGATGCTTAGACGAAGGTCAAGATTGAGATGCATAGAACTAACAGATGCAAATGAAGACTGCCACACAAGTAATTAAAGAATCAAGTCTTAAAAGACTAATCAAGCCAGCGTCTACAATCACATAAATGCTCTTAATGTAAAACGCATGATCAAAGAGAAAAGAAGAAAAAGAAGAAAAACACGCAAAAGCATAAGAATGCATGTGTCAGAAAAAGTACATCACTTTTTCAGATAAGGTTAACACTCTACAGCTATGATACCAGAAAAGGACAAAATGGTTCCTAAGTCTCTGCTGTTGTAGGCCGCAAGGTTGAGTTGTTGTAGGCCGCAAGGCTGAGTTGCTGTAGGCCGTAAGGCTGAGTTGTTGTAGGCCGAAAGGCTGAGTTGTTGTAGGAGATCTCTGAGTTGATATGCGTGACGACGCATTACATTCTTATTGATGATAATGTTGAAAACTGATGGAATGTATGTTGATGAAGTGTACATAGTCGTGTTTGTTTCTTTTTTTTCTTAAAAATCTTTCCATATGCTATTTTTTTTATGCTAGCTTACCCTTTGTGTTTCCATGTGGCTGGACTGCTATGATCGTACTATGTACGGGAGCAGAGCAGTGATAGAAGGTGGATAGCGATGAGTCGGCAACTGATAGATGGAGCTGACATCTAAGAATGTTTTGTTTGTTTTAGTCACTAGGCATAGTGACTTCTGATGTAATTCTTGTTTTACATACCCTAACTCTAGTCGGATTCGGGACATATGTATATACTTATATTCTAGACTCTATATATATATACTTGTTCTATTCTGTCTAGTGTTTCCGGTGTGTTTTGTTGATGAGTGGAATGGCCAGCCGGGTCGTTACAGAATCCCTTACTAAGCAAGTGGATCAACTATAAGAAGGAAGAAAGAAAGGATTTCAAGTAGAGTAACATTGTTAAAATATATGACTTGCCCGATTTACCCAACAAATAATGATAACTATTGGCAATAATAACTTTGAAATGATTATTTTCTTTGACGTGAGTTTGGTACCAATAGCGATTATTCACGCTGTACTATGATCAGCATACTATACAAGGCCTTGATCTTATGTTGCATACATTTCATTCTAGTGTTCTTGTTATTATTTGGAATCTCAAATTATTGTAGTGCATGTCTAAATATCATCTAAAATCCATGTAATTCAGCATTTTTGTGTCAAATTTGTGATAGAGATCCAAAAACCAGTTATATTAGCTTCAATGTGACATGTCTCCTTCTTTGTTAACAAATATAAGTGTATTTGATTAGTAATGTATAATTTTATGCAAAGAGAAAAAAGAAGTAACCAATGCATCATTATTTTAAAAATAAATTGAATATAAAATTAGTAAAATTTTCATTTCATGATTTAATTGACTCAAGTTAAAATGAAATATTTCATAATAAGAGATAACTAATCAAACTAGATTATTCTATTTAAAATTTAGTCTAAATTTTAAACGATAGTGTAATATAAGATACTAAGATATAGTAAATTTTAAACTTTATACAAATTTTAGAATGTCAAACATTTTTTTAATGTTAAATATTTTTCACTGAAGAATTTGAATTTTGTATAACTATTTTAGATTATAAAAATTTTCTTTTGACTATTTAATATCACTATATATCTAAAATTTAAATCCAACATCAGTTAAATTAAAACAACTTATAACAGTTAAGTCACATATTAGATGGACAAAACTAATTTGAATAGTTTAAATATTTTTTAACGACCTAAACTTTGAAAGTAATGAACTTGATATTTACATGTTTAGACCTCATTAACATTTAAATTTACATAAATATTTGAATAAAACATAAAGTTGAGAGAGATTAATATAGTATCTTGAAACAATTGAGTGAGTTTTCTTGGTAGGTGGTAGAATCTGTGTATTGATTTTAGCTATGATAATCTTGGCATGGCACACAAACTATGACACTATCTTACTTTTTCAGCACCCCAAAAAGAATGGCCATGCAATATCATAGGACAAAGGTTATGTTCATGTCTTCCATCCCAATACACATCACTTCCAATTCCAACTTTATATATAATATAAAAAGAAAAAAATTTGCTTCGAATTTGGAGTACCCCAATGCTACTTAAGAATCATCACACATGTTGTGAAAGTGCAATCAATCCAACGGCCAACAGTGCATCATAAGTTGCATGCAAGTGCAATGCAACACTACACTAAAACGGTTTCTTTTTTCTTCTTCTTATTATTAGAATTAGAATTGGAATTAAGTGTGTTTGAACGACTTATTAAACTAATTTCGAATAAAACTCACTTATAAAATTAATTTTATAATAAGGTGATTTGTGTTTTTATTTTAAAATTTAGTACTCTTTTTTGGGGGTTGATTTTACTATTCATATAAAGATTCGAATAATATATATATATATATATATATATATATATATTTATAAAAGATATACCTAATTTTTTGCTCAACAATTAATAATAAAATTTAACATAATTTTTATCCAATGTAAAAAATCGCTTAATATTTATTTGAGTGGGTATTTGTAATTTTTCAAAATTAGTTAAAAGTGATTTTAAATTTATTTTGATGTGATTAAAAATTTTACATTATTTAAAAATTAAGATAAAAAATAATTTATAAACACTTTATCTTTAATTTCTAAGACACATTTTTAATAATAAAATTGTGATTGTCTAACGAATACTAAAACGAAAAATATCTAAGACACAATGACTTATTTAAGTATTTTTAAAAATTTTAGAAATTAGACTAATTGAAATTAATAAACACATTCCCTCTTTAATCTTCGAAATGTGTTGTTTCAATAACAAAATCGTGATAGTCCGGTAGACGTCAAAACAAATAATTCCTTAAAAGTTCTTAATACATTCTATCCACAACCTTTACAACACGTCTTTTTAACAATAAAATTGTCACCGTTTAATTAACATAAAAATGAACGATACCTCAAAATTTTTTAAACGAAACTATTGTCGAAAAAAAATAAAATCATTTGAAGTTTGATTTAATTATAATGTAAATTTTAATTTAATGTAAAATATACTCTTTTATTACTTTTAGTAAAATTGAAATTTAAAAGAAAATATAATTTTAAGTTAAATTAGTGAGTAGATTTATTAGTAAATTTAAAATAATTAATAGATATCTTTTTTTTGCAATGTTTTAATGTTTAAAATGATAGAGAGTGAATGATTATCTATTTTTTTAATTGAATTCTTTATATTTATGATGTAAACTTTTTAATCAAGTTTTAAAATTGCCATAATATTATTATTTTATGAGAATTTTAGTGCGTGTTTGGTTTTAATTTATAAACGTAATTTTTCTTTCTCTTTCTACGTTTAGAAGTAAATTTACGTGAAAATTTCAATTATTTAATTCTCATAAACATGAAATTTCACGTATAAAAGCTGAAGTAAACATGCACTTAGCTGTCAGAACTTAATCCTAAAAAAATTACTTTGTTTTTAAGAACAGGGACCTAATTTTTTTAATTTTAAAACCTGTTTTGAAATTTCCAAGTATTTATGGCTTATTTGTTTTGCAATTACCTTTTTTTAATAAAAAAGCAATTCACTACTTACTTTGCCGTTTATATATTGGAAAGTGAAAGAAGTTTATTTAACCGGTATTGAGCCATTTTTCAAATATATATTTAAAATTTATTGTGTGTTTGAATAAAAATTGAATTGAATTTAATTCATTTTTATTTTAAAATAATAATTTTATTCTTTTTAAATTTTATACATTAAAAAGTAAAAATATACATTTTAATACTATGAAATAATATCCAAACTTCGATTTTACTTTAAAACAACTAAACATTTATATTTTTTTTATTAAAATTACGTTTTACAAAAAGTGAAATAAATCTCCATTCTCATAATCAAACTCTAGTAACTTTGAATTTAATTCAATTTTATAAAATTAATTTATAAAGTAAAAATTACTCACCATTTATATATTTTTTAATATTTTATTTTTAATTAAAGTGAGAGTTAAGTTTTTTTTTCTTCTATACAAACAAACAAAGAAGTGACATTTCAAGATAATTTTAAATGTTTTTGACGTAAATTCAAACGAATTTTTTACGTAAATAATATTTTTTTTTTAAAATTTACTAAAATAACACCTGTACAACTTTATTTACACAACTAGAACCGTTTATTGTTCACACTCAGAATTCGGTTTCCGTGGAACCGAATTCTGAGCTTCAAAATTTTTTTTTCTCTTTTTTTGTGCTCAGAATTTATTTTTTTTATTAAAATTACGTTTTACAAAAAGTGAAATAAATCTCCATTCTCATAATCAAACTCTAGTAACTTTGAATTTAATTCAATTTTATAAAATTAATTTATAAAGTAAAAATTACTCACCATTTATATATTTTTTAATATTTTATTTTTAATTAAAGTGAGAGTTAAGTTTTTTTTTCTTCTATACAAACAAACAAAGAAGTGACATTTCAAGATAATTTTAAATGTTTTTGACGTAAATTCAAACGAATTTTTTACGTAAATAATATTTTTTTTTTAAAATTTACTAAAATAACACCTGTACAACTTTATTTACACAACTAGAACCGTTTATTGTTCACACTCAGAATTCGGTTTCCGTGGAACCGAATTCTGAGTATGAACAGTAAATGGTTCTAGTTGTGTAAATAAAGTTACACATGTGTTATTTTGGTAAATTTAAAAAAAAAATATTATTTACGTTAAAAATTCAAATTCAAACACCCAAATTAAAATGTGAAAAATAACCTCTACTAAAAAAATTTCTTTATCATTATTATTTTCTTCTTTCTGATATCACCCTTTAGTTTCTGACAAGTCCACTTCCCTGCATCTTTTGTCACTCCCACCACCACTTCTCTCTTTGGCCTAGTTAGAAAGAAAGAACACACACCTGTGACTTGTGTTACAGAAGCAACTAAAACATTCTCCACAACAACAAACCTTGAGTTAAAAAAACAACTCTGTTGGTTGTATCCTCAACCATTTCCGTCTCAACATGTCTTGTTCAGTGCACCTCCTTCTCCTCACCTTCTTCCTCCTGGCTTTGCTCTTACACCCTCCATGTGTTTTTGGTAATGATGAGCTTAGAGCCCTTTTGGACCTGAAATCCAGTTTGGATCCAGAGGGGCATTTTCTGTCCTCATGGACCATGGATGGCAACCCATGTGGCGGTTCCTTTGAGGGAGTGGCTTGCAATGAGAAGGGTCAGGTGGCAAATGTGTCTTTGCAGGGAAAAGGCCTCTCTGGGAGGCTCTCACCAGCCATTGGTGGACTCAAGCACTTGACAGGACTTTACTTGCATTATAACTCTTTGTATGGAGAGATTCCAAGGGAAGTTGCAAACATGACCCAACTTAGTGACTTGTACTTGAATGTGAATCACCTCTCTGGAGAAATCCCACCCGAGGTTGGCAAGATGGAGAATCTTCAAGGTAAAATGGAACTTTCGGTTTTCTGCACCTTGATTTGGCTTTGGTTGTTTTTGATTGAAAAAAAATGGAACTTTCAGTTTTCTGCACCTGATTTGGCTTCATGTGGTTCTTGTTGAAGCTTTTGTGGGGTTTTGAATGTTGTGTGGTTGTGGGTTTTGCTGAAAGATTTGAGCTTGATTTTGTTTATTTGCTGTGCCATTTAGTTTCGTTTCATTTGATTGACTTTTTTTACCCCTCTTATTGTTGGTTTTCTAAGTTTTCTCGCACTGTGATTTTCCAGAATAGTTAATTCACGTGAAGGAAAAAGGAATCATAGCTTTAAATGCTTTTACAGTATATGGTTATGGGCATGTTTTTTAGTGCAATCTCCTTTAGAAGGCGCTTTGTGTAACTAAAAGTTGATTTTGAACAACCTGATGTTAACTGGTTTAATTGCAAGAGGTAGGTATGAACTAGAAAATTAAAGGGTTACAGTGTTATTAATCTCTTGGCCCAGTTTCTGAACTCTATTTAATGGTTTTTCTTGAAATTGTCTGCTTTTCTTTTCTGGATAAATGAAGGATTTAATTCAATGAATTCTACACCAGCATTTTACAAAGTGTTCATTAGAGGAATCTAAGCATATTACTGTTGACAGCTACCACTTTGAACTTTGATGACTATTACTAACCTTCTCCCAAGATTAGTATTTGTTCATTAGAGCTGAAAATGCAACCCGAAAATTTGTTTGTTTGTTTGTACTGTTTTCTTTGGCTTTCCTGAGGAATAATGTTTGTTTGGTGGTTCAGATTTGGGAGTTTTCTTATTTGGAATTTTTTTACTTGCTATGCAGTTTTGCAGCTTTGCTATAATCAGTTAACCGGAAGCATACCTACACAGCTTGGTGATTTGAAAAAGCTTAGTGTTCTTGCTCTTCAGTCAAACCAGTTGGCTGGAGCTATCCCTGCTAGTCTAGGTGATTTGGGAATGTTGATGAGGCTAGATTTGAGCTCTAATAGTCTCTTTGGTTCCATTCCCACCAAACTAGCTGATATTCCTTCTCTGCAAGTTTTGGATGTTCACAACAATACTCTCTCTGGGAATGTACCTCCTGGTAATATTGATGTTACACTTTCATTTTACTTTATTGCTTTTCTATCTGTCCATTTTTTCATTGATGTTTGTCTTCTTTTTCATCAGAAATTATCAAATCTGATATATGTTTGTTTTGCTTTCTTTGGTTTAATGAAGCTCTGAAGAGACTAGAGGATGGATTTGTGTATGAAGAAAACATGGGATTATGTGGGGTTGGGTTTTCATCCTTGAAAGTTTGCACTGCTTCAGAACATGTCAATCTCACTCAACCAGAACCATATGGAGCAGGAGTCGGTGGTCTGTCTAGAGATATCCCTGAAACTGCTAATGTAAAGTTGCCTTGTAATACAACTCAGTGCCAAAATCCATCAAAATCCAAACAAGCAACATCTATTACAGTTGGCATAGTTCTAGCTACGATTGCAGTATCAGCAATTGGTATTTTGACGTTCACTATGTATCGTCGGCGGAAACAAAGGCTTGGAAGTGCATTTGATATCTCTGAAGGCCGTCTTAGTACAGATCAAGCCAAGGGTATATACAGGAAAAATGGATCTCCTTTGGTCAGCCTTGAGTACTCTAATGGATGGGACCCTTTGGCCGATAGCAAGAATTTCAATGGGGATAGGCAAGATGTGTTCCAGAGTTTCAGATTCAACTTGGAAGAAGTGGAGTCTGCTACTCAGTATTTCTCAGAGATGAATTTGTTGGGTAAGAGCAACTTTAGTGCAACGTATAAAGGAGTTTTGAGAGACGGTTCTGTTGTTGCTGTTAAGAGCATCAGTAAAACTAGTTGCAAATCGGACGAAGCTGAATTTTTGAAGGGATTGAACATCTTGACCTCACTGAGGAATGAGAATTTAGTGAGGCTGAGAGGATTTTGTTGTTCAAGGGGACGAGGTGAATGCTTCCTGGTCTATGATTTTGTTTCAAATGGAAATCTGATGCGCTACCTTGACGTGAAAGAAGGTGATGGAGAAGTCCTCGAATGGTCAACTAGAGTTTCTATTGCGAAAGGGATTGCTAAAGGTTACTCTTCCATCATGCCCTTTTTAAAAATAATTTACTTTCCTTTAGTTTGATACTTCAACTATTTTTAGAAATCATTAGATAAAAGGCAGTGGTTAGCGAATAACTCTGAGCATCTCTTTTCTCACTACTACTCAGATGCTTCAAGAGATGCCAACACCACTACAAAGTATATATTATATTATATTACATGTTATCATGTGCTGTAAATAAACACATAATTGGTTTCCCCCTATTATTCTCAGCTTAGTGACAAACCTCTAGCTTCATTGTAAGATTAATTTTCCTTTAAAATTGTTGCGATTGATTTGCATTCATTTGAATTAATATTCATTAGGATCCTAATAAGAAGTGAATCAAGTGATATATTCTCATGATTTCCAATCTTCATGTGTATGCTGAAACCTTGTTTTCTTGACCAGGTATAGCATATTTACATGCAAACAAAGCAAACAAACCAGCCCTTGTTCACCAAAACATCTCAGCGGAGAAAGTGCACATTGATCAGCGGTACAACCCGTTGCTTTCAGATTCCGGCCTGTACAAGCTTCTCACCAATGACATTGTCTTCTCAGCGCTAAAGGGTAGTGCAGCAAAGGGTTACCTGGCTCCAGAATACACCACCACTGGCCGGTTCACCGAGAAGAGCGATGTTTATGCATTTGGGGTGCTTCTTTTCCAGATCCTCACTGGGAAGCAGAAGATCACAAGCGCGATGCGCCTTGCTGCAGAGTCCTTCAGATTCCCAGAATTCATCGACCCGAATCTGCATGGCAGGTTTTTTGAATATGAGGCGGCTAAACTGGCGAGAATGGCCTTACTTTGCTCCCATGAGTCTCCATTTGAGAGGCCAAACTTGGAAGCCATTGTTCAAGAACTTGGAAATTGTAGTAGCTGTCTCTGATTTGAGTTTTACTTTGACTACTTTAACCATCAAAACCACACCAGTTTTCTAGTATTTGGCCACTAGCTCATGGTCATGGTGGTGGTGACCTTGTAAGTCTTGACATTTTTCCATGTCCTTAATTAAGGAGTAAGGACTAGTTTTTATGTGAATGAATGCCTTGACATTTCACATTAGGTTGTAGCCTAAGGAAGGGATTTTTAATTTTTTTATTTCATTTCAGCCATTTATTTTCTCTAATCACATGTTATTGTTGGCTTTATTTTCTTCTTTTTTTTCTTTCTTTTGGGTTTTGTGATTGAATGCTCTCTTATTTTAATTCATCCCTTTCCAACCAACCATGGACATAAAGGAAAAGCTATATCTCCATCAATAGAAATGCACGTCATGAATGCAATGAATCTAATTCCCTAGTGCTACAATACTTTTTTGGCTACTATTAGTATTAGCACTTTGTAAAGCCCCCATTTCCTTTTCTAGTTTGTGGAATGCTGATTCTAGACGATTAGTTTGGGTTGTTCACTTTGTAGTGGTGCTTTTTAGTGCTATGGCTTAGACATTTCTTTCCTCTAGTATATGAATATATATGTGATATAAATAGGAATTTGAGGCTGGCACGTGCTCGTGCAACTTTAATGTAATTTAATGTTTATAAAAAGCTTATTAAATATGGAGCAAGTTAAACAATAATTGTTCAAGTAATTCTCTTTCCAATTACATCAAGTGTTTCTAGAAAAGTGTTTCTGTAGCATTTTAATTTTTCCTGTATTTTCACTATGTGATGGCTGCTGTTAGTTACCACTACCAGCCTACCCGCAAACATTAGGGGCCATTAATAGGTGCTGGATCCAACTCACAAACCTTGCTGTGCATGTTTATTATTACAAGTTTCTTTTTGGTACATATGTAACTGTAACCATTGATATTTGGAGACCCCATGCTAGTAAAAGCATGCCTGCGAATTGTTGAATTGATGATTCACAGGAATAAAGTCCTGTCATTCTTGTGGGGTTTCACTTATTTATTTAACTCACTTCTAATTCTTTATCTACACTAACAGGTAACATTTTTCCCATAATTTCATAAATGGTGTAGGGTTGTCACACCACTCTAAACTATTATTATCTCACTTCTTATTTTGGATAAAATTTCTACCAACAAAATAATGAAGAAAAATGCTAACTAGTGTCTTTATTTTTTGTTTGGATGATAGAAGTATAATAGAAGTAGAAAAGAAAGAAGTGTGAATATGTTTTAAAAGGATATATTTACCCTTAAAAAATATTTATATAATTCATATTAAAAAGATAAAAATGTCATTTTAACCATCGGCCTCACTATTTTCTTTCTTGCTTGCACCAAAATCTCTTCATCATGGAAGAGATTTTTTTTAAAATTTTTTTAATGTGGACTGTACGAATATTTTCTCTTTCCTCATTTCTCACTCTTCCCAAATAACATTAAACTTACTTTTTTCTCGTGGAAAAATGTATCTACACATTTTCCTTGTAACCTTATCTTTGTATCTACATATTGATTTGTTAACTAGTGCCCTTAGACACTGATAAGTGTAACGACCCGGCAGGCCGCAACACTCACAATTATAGCACACCGGAAACACTAGACAGAATAGAACGAGTATATAGATATAGTGTCTAGAATATAAATATATACATATGTTCCAAATCCGACTAGAGTTAGAGTATGCAATATATAAGGATTACATCAAAAGTCACTATGCCAAGTGACCAAACCAAAACAAAGCATCCATAGGAGTCAGCTCCATCTATCAGCTGCCGATTCATCACTATCTACCGCCTATCCCTGCTCTGCTCCCGTACACAGTACGATCATAGCAGTCCAACCACATGGAAACACAAAGGGTAAGCTAGCATAAAAAGGAACAACATATGGAAAATTTTTAACAATAACAGCAATTACAACCACCAACGAATCGTCAATTAGCATCCAGTCAGTTATTTCCACACAGATTCACCAATACACACAAGATGCGTCGTCACGCATATCACCTCGGAGATCTCCTACAACACCTCAGCCTTTCGGCCTACAACTCCTCAGCCTTTCGGCCTACAACACCTCAGCCTTTCGGCCTACAACAAACAATAGCAACACACAGTACAACACAACTATACCGACAACACATCAATTTCACGGTTCAACATATCATCTATAATATAAAACTACTTTTTAGTCCATTCACCAGAACAATTTAATATCAACTTCAACGTTATCTACTAGACGTCATGTCATAACTTTCCAATTCAATTCAACTCAACATAAGCATCATATTCAATAATTTCATCTCCGCGCCCGGCGCACACGTGGTTGCGCCCAGCGCGGCGCAACCAGAGAGCACCAGGGGCCAACGCGCCCAGCGCAGGTGTACCCGCGCCCGGCGGGACTCACCCAGAGAACCCAAGGCCCTCTCGCGCTTGGCACAATCGCCATTGCGCCCAGCGCTGGCCAGCCAGAGACTCAAGGAGTCTCATGCGCCCGGCGCATCGAACCACGCGCACAGCGCGGGGGAGGCAGAGACCTCCAATATAGCACAGCAAATCAACATACGGCACAACTAAGTAGTATTCAACACAGCTTACTACTCACAACTTAGCTCAGCATTCTATAGTACATCAATATTATAATTTAGCATTTAAAATTCTTCAATCACAGTCCAGCTCAGCGCAGTAATATACATCTATTTCAGCTTAGTTCAGCATAAAACAACATCTCTCAGCAATTTCAGCAAAATTTAACAACTATAAGCATATAAGTCAACATCATCATACGCGCCCGGCACACTCATGGTCGCGCCCAGTGCGGCTCAACCAGAGAGCACCAAGGGCCAGCGCGCCTGGCACAAGACTGCTCGCGCCCGGTGTGACCCAGCCAGAGTCCCGAAGCTCAGTAGCAGCCAACCTTTTTCGAAAAATTTCATCAAAGACCTGCGAAAAGAGCAGAAACTTCACATGCAATAGGTTCAAAACACTACATTTTCATCTAAGAGTCCAAAAGTACTGCCTTTTCCAACATGCAACAACAATCAAGGCTATTCCCCAAAATTTCTCAACAACCCCGAAAACCCCAAAAACAACAAGTTTCTCTTAATCCAGCCACGAATCAACCATCTACAAGCATCCAACGAGTTTCTAGAACTCGTCCACAACCAAAAATAGCGAAAAAGAGCAAAAATACTAGCTTCCCTTACCTCGGGTGAAGATTCCGAGTTCCGGGAAGCTTTGAACAGAGGAGAAAAGAGAACTAATGAGCTTCGAATGCAAGAGGAAGGAGAGGGGATCCCGACACCAGCTAGCACACCTCACAACTCAGCACCACCACCTTGAGTTCAAATAAGGAGAGAAAAGAGTTTTAGAGGATTGAAGGAAAGAGGCTTCAGTTCAAAATGAGAGGGAGAGGGTGAGGTCTGGTGGAAGAAAGGAAAAAGTCAGAAAAGGGGTCTCACAATAAGCATGATCCAATAATATAGAGAAGAGACTGATCTCTTACCCCACAAATCAAAGTTTAAATCTTTAATGAAAGAGGTACTTACATTTGGTATTTAGTATTAGTCAACCAAATAGGTCTTGGATATTTCTAATATCAAACTGTATAGAAAACTTAATTAGCTTGTCACATTTTTAGGAACAGATCTAGAAATATGAAAAAGAGGGATCAACATCATTTTTTTTAACATACACTACCAAAAGAAATCTAAAAAAGACATGTTAAGTATTAGGTTTGCTGTAAGTAGTATAGTCTTTGTTATTATAAGGTATATTATGAACATAAACATTATATATTTATATTAATAATATGATATAACATACTAATAGTATGATACACCAATATTATATATAAACTTTATCAACAAGAGAATGTTTTATGTTATGAAATCTATTTTGTTTTTATTAATTTTCTATTTATATTTCGACCAATTGGCTTTTTCATCAAAATAATATAATTTTCAATTATTATAATAAAACATAAATAATTCTAGTTATTTAACTAATAATATTTATAATATTAAATCAATATGTACTTATATATCTGCAAACTGAAACTGTTTTTATTAAGTAATTTTTCGTATTTCCGTAATTATATATTGTTCATATATTAAATTTATTTTCAAAGTTTTCCTATATTCAAAGTTTTTTAAAACATATTTTATATCTATTTTTTAAAAATTTATAAAATTGTATAATTTCACTAATTCATATTTAATATAAATATAGTATTCATTTACTTTAATTTTATAATTATTAATCATAAATATTTAAAAATTTTATTCTTAATTTATATTAATATTCCAGATTTTTATATATAACTGTTTTAATTGATTGAAACTCGGATTTTACAGAAAATTGTATTATAGATTTATATTTTATGTAATTTGCAATTTTATAAACAACAATAGTAAAATTTTCAAGGTTTTTTGTTTTATTTAAATCAGTACCATTTGTACATATACTATATATTATCAACTCCTACATATAAAACATGAACAATTATTTTATGTGAGAGTGTTTCTAGGATCTTTTTATCAATGAGAATTTTTAAGAATTCTTTTAACTTCATATATAATTCAATTTTTATTTATCATAATTATTTATGAATTTAATTTTAATATTTTTAAAATAAATTATTAATAAATAAAAATAATCTTGTATTATGATATAAATTATTTATCATAAATCTAAAATATGTTTCATTTATTTAAAAATATTTATTTATTCAAATTTTAAATATAATTAATATATTTAAATATAATATTTATTTGTGTACATAATTTATTTTAAATGTTAGTTATATATATAAATATTTATCATATTCATTCCACATGCTAAAAATACAAATTGATATATTATTTATCAAAATAAATAGTGGATATTATATCTCATTATCGTCATTGTGAAGGATGCACAGTGCTAGTGGGCTGGCGTTGATTCCGGGACGATACAAGCTCACCAAAATAGTGGGCCTTGCAGGAATAGTGGGCCTAGTGTCTTAACCAAAACCAATTTGGGCTTTGACTTTTACATAATCCTTTTCTTTGCCTTCCCACTTCTCGATATTTTGTTTTAATTAAAATTTATATTTCAGCCTTTGATTTTCACACAATCCTTTTCTTTATCTTCCTACTTCTCATTTTTAATTAAAATTTCTATTTTATTCATCCCTATACACTACCTTCCTGAATTCTACACTCTAAATATACAAATATGGACTCATGCATAGCAAAATACTAAATAAGGGTCTTTCATGTATAAATAAGGCTAACCTTAGGTTAGCGCACAGTTGGGCACCATAATCTAGCTTCCGGTTCATCCCTCATCGCCAATTTATCTTACCATAAATGGTCCACTTGGAGCTCTCGATTTTGTGGAGTGGCTCAATAAAGCAACCACACCATCTTACCTATTTAAAGTTTGAGAATAGGTCGAGGGCATTGTGCCCCCGATGCCTCTAATCATTGGCTTTATTCAATAAAACTCGCTCGTAGGCTCTAGCTATCCTAAGGAAACTTTGAAGGGAACCAATTACTAGACGGTTCGATTAGTCTTTTGTCCCAATACCCAAGTAGACGAACAATTTGAATGTTAGTATCGTTATTGGCCTCCACCAGAGTTTCCTCTAGCTTCACCTAGCTCATGCATAGTTCACCATCTTTTGGGTCCCGACAAATAATAAGATTCCACTAGAGCTACATAGGAAGCACAAGGAGAAGAAAGTTCACAAGGAGAAAGAGCCTTATCGAAGTGGTCATCATAAGAGGAGGGGTGAAGAGCGGGGTCACGAAGAAAAGCCCAAGAAGTTGAAACAACAAACTTTTCATGACCCCTCCCGTGGGACTTTGGCCATCCCCCTAACCATATGCAGTCATAGATTCCTCGATGTTATAAAGTAGGAAATGATATCCTCTTGAGTGGGGGATTTTTTATGAGTTGCAATCTTGGTCAATTGTGCTTTCCCAAACATGGTGTTGGAGTTGATTGCCGAGAGCACCAAGGTGAATCAGAAACTTGAGGAATATCAAAAGGTTGTTGTTGAGGCCTTGGTTGCAAATAATGGCATTGTGGAGGAAAAAAAGTACAAAGGGGAAATATATAGGTTGCACTAAAAGGTTGACACCCTAAAATTGAACATGAAAATTAGAGAGAAGGATAAGAGGAAAAGTGGGGGACAAGGCCAACCGAGCTCATGCCGATTATGTTGCTTATAAGAAGTATGTGAAGAAGAGGATTGTTGAATAGCATGAGACTGGTTTTAATTTGACCATTTGACAAGTGAAACGTTTTTGGAACTTGTTAGAAGATTTTGAATTTGACTTGGGGTAAGACTTTTACCAATGAACATTCATGTCATTTGTCGACATGCTAAAAGGGGTCGTGTCGGACAATAAGGCCTCTTCACAAAAAGAATGCGCCTTCGGCCACAGTGATGAAGAAACAAACTTTGATGTTAAGGATGATCAGGCCGAGAGCCATGGTGAAGAAGAGAACGATGCAGTTAACTAGTAATTTTGATGTAATGGACGAGTTTGCCCTTTTGTTCTTTTTGTTTTTGGGTTAGGCATTCTGATGCAATATTTTGTACGTTGGGATGATATTACCCCTTAATAAAGTTCTCTTATTTTCTTTAACATTTGATTATGCATATATGTTGAAATTTTCTAAGTTATCCCAAAGCACATTCATGTACTAAAGTTCAATATGAAACCTTGTAGTAACTAAGGGGAAATGAATGTCAAAGGTATATCATTGGCCGAGTGGTCACTCGAGAAGGAAAATGTGTGACAATTTGAACAATAAAATCGAAAGTACATCTTTGGTCGAGCGAAGACTCGTGAAGGAAACCTTGCCATGATTTTATTCCAAGTGAAAATTGAAAGTACATCCTTGAATGATTGAAGACTTAGGATAAGAACCTATCAAAGGCCAATTTAGAAGAGTTTATTAAACAACTTAAAGACTAGAGTGTGTTTATGCTTTTATCAACAATGAATGAACATTAAGGGGAAGCAAAAAAAGTTTGTCTATTCATAGGCATATTCTGGAACCTCCTTTACACTTTTCTCCTCATTTTTTTCTATTTTTAACATCATTCAAATTTTAATATTTTATCATGTAATATGTAAAGATAACAAGAAATGGTGTACGTTTGATAATAATTAATTCTTTTGTAATTATATAGCTTTATAATATAAATGTTCAAGGTTTTGATTGACTTTTTTTCTTTCTTTTTTTAGTTTCTTTCTTCCTCTAGAATCAATTAACTAGTTCCCTTTCGCCAAACTTAAACCTCATTGATCTTTTAGCTTAAAAGTTACTTTAAATTAAAATTTAAAATATAGGTTTTAAAAATAGAGTAAAAATGGTATAAAAAAAAAGAGAGAGTAAAAGTTATTAAAAAAATTTCATTCTTTTTAATTTAAAAGAGATGATAAAAGAGAGACATATTGATATGTGGATAAACCAATACATGATTATTTTAGTTTAATTAATGATTTCAAGTTCAAATCTTAGAATATGCAATTATGTTAAATATTTGGAAGAACTTTATTGTCTATAATGATTATATTTGACTTGAATATAATTGTTTTTGATAGAGAACATGTGTAGTATTTTTTTTATCCATTCTTTAATTAAAGAGGTGCAATATGAAGATTCTCCAAGAATTCACTCATCCTAGAACATATGTAGTATTTGACTTGAATACGATTGTTTTAGGTAAGTAACATATGTAGTATAAAAAAAGGAAAATGATAAGAAAGTAAGAGAGAGAGAGGGTGGAGAAAGAGAAAAGAGAAAAGAGAAGTGAACATTTTCTTGAAATTTTCAACAATTTTTTTAGTTACTTTTTTATTTTATAAAACTAAAGTTTTTTTTTTTTAATTTTTTAAGTGGATTTTAAAAAATATATTTGTCCCAGCTCTTTCTTTTAAAGAAAAATAAAAAAATTCAAAAAATAGAAAAATTGGGACAAACTCATAAGAAGAAAAAGAGATTCTTTTTAAGATTTACGCGTATATTTATATCTGTAAAATATTTTTTAGATACTTAAAAGCCTATTTGAAACATAAAAAAAAAAGAAAGATAAAAGAAAAAAAATATACATATAAGATAATGTGATTTGATAGTAAAAAAGACAGAAAAAAATGTCTTAAATAAAATGTTTAGGTAACATGATGTGATACGAAGAGAAATCGAGAAAGAAAGTGTTAAATGAAGTGTTTAAAAAAATTAAATATTTAAAAACATGCTCTCAATGACTTCAAATGTTCTCAAGAAAACTTTTTGGGGAGGTTTTTTTTTTTTTTTTTTTTTT